GCCTATTTCCGCTTTATCAGTTTTGCGGTTTTCTTGCTCAAATCATAGTGCGACGATATAGTAGGCTGATTAACTTAGACTACTCCACCATTGAGCACTGCTTTAAACATTTCGTGGCATTGTTAGAATTATCAATATTACTACATAAATAAGTGTAGCTTGCGTGGTGTCATTGCGTCATTGTATTAGTAAAAGAAACATAGCGATTCGTTGTGACACTGTGCACATAGCCGCTTGATGAATGGTTTTTTTAATGAAAGGACTAAATGAAAGCAAACGAGAAATGGAAGCTCGCGTTGACGAATATTTCAATGTACATGTGCAGCTGCAATGCGAACGAGAATGAGACTCGTGAAGGACACTTTAGTAAGGAAAGACTCGTGTTTGACGTCAAAGTATAGCACCCTCGAAAGAAACTTTACCGTCGTTGTTTACAGCTACCACATCTAGCAGGACGACCTATTTGACGCATTTTGCTTGCAGTTTCTCGCACTTTGTCTTTAGTTTTATGTTTAGGTTGGTCCGTGTTTCCTCACCTCTTGTTTCTGCTAGCATGTATTGGCAGCAGATATTCATGATATTTTTTAAAAGGGTACCGGACACGCGTTCACTTGAGAGCTTACCTATCTTGAGTGGCACTACTACAAACTTCTAATAAAACTGCGCGTGACAAAACAGTCAAAGCATGGTACTGAAACAACGGCGAGTAGCGCAATATACATATTGAAATTAGTAGCTTTATTCAAAATCTATATGCAGCAACTCGTCTGATAAAATATTCGTTGCACTCTCTTATATTGATAAAAAGTAATCGTTTGCTCCGAAATCAACTCAATAATCTCCTAAAGCTCAGCCACCCCGAAATTCTCCATCAGTTATCATTCTGAGTAGCTCAGCAGTAACGCCTACATTAGAGCAAATGAGGTAAACCTAAAATCAACTTCGGCCTTAATTTTATCTTCGCATATGATATTCATTCACATCTAGCATGTTCATATAGCATAGTTGCTAGTGAATCTGCAGTACCTCAGAGTGTATGAAAATTCTGAATTGAAAAAATTTTCCATCAGACAAAATTGTGACTGCTGATAGGGGGGGGGGGGGGGACTATTGGATATTTCCGAAGATATTTGACACCAAAATGACACAAAAAGTCAAGCCCCGCCACGGTGGTCTAGTGGCTAAGGTACTCGGCTGCTGACCCGCAGGTCGCGGGTTCAAATCCCGGCTGCGGCGGCTGCATTTCCGATAAAGGCGGAAATGTCGTAGGCCCGTGTGCTCAGATTTGGGTGCACGTTAAAGAACCCCAGGTGGTCAAAATTTCCGGAGTCCTCCACTGCGGCGTCTCTCATAATCATATGGTGGTTTTGGGACCTTAAACCCCACAAATCAATCAACACAAAAATTCAAGGCAGCTATCGCTAGCTCATGTAACCTTGAAATAGTTTATCCATACGTCATGATTACTTCTTGCACTTTTGAATTCCTCGTTCAACACGCTATGTGAAAGCGAAGCGCGAGACCTGGTCAAATCTCGCGCTTGGCTTTATCGGCGTGACCCCCGTAAATAGAGTCCAACGACACTTACCGAATGCTCAAAGCGCTGAATTAAGGGATAGGACAATAAGTTTTCCCAGTCACTTTAAAAGAAGCGTCAAAGTTGAGCTATATCTGACATTAATGAACTCCATAGCGGAATCGAAAATACTCTGGTGGCGCGGAAGAATAAAAAATCTGTTTAAGTAGAACGACAAATAGGGAATTATAAAACCACTGACCAATTCAATAAAGGCAACAAACAATTGATTTTCTAAACAGGACCAAAGTGCGCACGCACTGGAATTCAAAGCTTCAAGTGTCATGAAACGCATCTAAGTTTCAATCAGGAAAAGTCATCTGTATGCGTAAGGAATGTTCCGTAGTTGTCGTTACGTAAGACGTGGCAAGTGGCAAATGAGAAAGGGGTAGGAACGGAATAGTGCGACGAACCGCAAAGCTCGGACCCACTACTGCGACAGCTGGAAGCCTCGTGGTGAACTCGAAATTGCGTCCTCGTTACGTCACATCACTCACAACCATTCAAAGAGCAAGCCTCGACGGTTACCAAATGCGGCAGAAAAGACTGCTATGCGTAATGCTTATCTTATCGACATGATCTCGCTTCCCCGCAGCCGTGTCCTCACCGGAGCGTCAAGAGCGCTTTGCGTTACTTCTCTCATAAAGCAGCTAAGCTGCTCCACCTTGTTGCCAGATTGGCCACCGCGTGCCTCTTTCCGCGACGGGAAGCTTGAGCGCCGAGATGCCAGCAGCTATAAGGCCGATGGAACGGCCTTAGGCGGCCAGCGTTACATGGCCGTAGCTATACTCAGCCGCCGCATGGCCCTTTCGTTTCTTTTTTCCGCTCTCTCTGCGTGGCCTACATTCTGCGAAAAGGAAACCTCCGGGCGAACGCTTAGCGACAGAAACTCTTAGCAGGAAGCGCACTGAAACAACAATAATGACAAGAGAGTGAGAAAAAAAAAAGAAAACGAAAGGACACAATCAACACCGCACGTTGCTTCCAGCGGAACAACATCGGTGAAATAGTTTCTGTGCAGCGGAGGTGAAAGCGCGAATTCGCTGAGGAGGAGAGTGGTGCGGCCAGTGATGGAACGATGCGCGTCGGATGCTATGGGGATAGAATCGAGGAAAAGGAGCCGGAAAGCGGGGCTTAGGGAACATTAAGGCCTTGTGCAAAGAGAACGGCAATTTAGAACAGCCACCTCGAATATATACCTTGGTTTTTCCCTTTGAGGGACAAAAATGTGGCGTTGCCGGAAGCGTTGCCAATAACCACTGAAAACAAGAATGATTAAGGACTAATGGATTTCCAAGTGAGGCTATCGCAAATTTATATCACCTGCAAGCATGAAGTGTAATCGCTATGAGTACTTTATTTACACAGTTTCTGTGGCGGTCGGTTCCTGAATAAACAACGACGTTTCTGCTTTACTTGTTATTGCCAACAATAAACAACAATAATTCGCAAGAACTAGTATTTGCTTAATTGAGCACCTAAACTGCCGTGTTATTATCTATTACATATCATTCCGAAACAGCAGTAATGGGACACAGCCAATTGAAGGTGCGGCAGAATAATGGCACTTAAAGCCATCAGAAATATGTGGTGAACCAATACAGACAAAGTTCTAAAGCACTGTCCATTATTTACTGAAACCTTTCGGCACCGAAGTTTTCAAAATCAAGGTAAAAAGTTTTGCGTGTGATGGTATTTTTGTGCAACAGTTTCTTTTTCTTGTATGCCAATACCAAGAAGTACGATATTTTTTGCTCCAGACCTTTCTGGCGGAAATGATTCATTCAATGATGTTCCGTCAAAAAATACATTCGACTATTCTACAAGATCAACAATAACAACAGAATACTCAGAAATATAGACCAATGTAGCTGTTCTGTAATAGAGCTCTAAGATGTAACAGTAAGAAATTATTACATCAAAAAGTAAAAAAAACATAGCTGAAGGGCATACCCCATGTTGTGTAATTATGCCACTGTGGCCGCCACGATTGCGTAGCAGGTACTTCGTCATGGCGCACCCACATTTACTTCCATGTCGAATAATCGCACGCAATAAAGCAGTATTGTTACTCTGTGACAACTTGTACCCAGTGTGACAATATCACGCCTTGAGCGCTCTAGCTTTACCACGTAGAAATATTTGACAGCACACCGGTGCCCCCCGAAAATTGTAGACTTGTCTATCCAGTTTTATGAGCAACGCAATAACTGAGAAAACTGACTAAACCCTAAAGAAACATTCTTAAGCGTACAATATTCGAGCTGGCTTCTGCATTTCCTCAGAATTATCCCTGGCGCAGCGTACTCTACTCGCCTACTCTCGCACACGGCTACTGCACTTCAGGTATTGCGCCGTGTCTCCTTACGGCAGACAGAAATTAGGAGCGTTTCTTTCTTTCTTCAAGAACCACTACCACCACTGCTAGGGCACTTCAGTTGACCTCCCACGTTTTGCATTGCTCTTCAACTCAGCTGGCCTACAGACTCTCCTCGCTTGACAGCGTTCGCTGGAGTGGAGAAAAAGCAGCGCAGGTCTAACACGCAGCGCAGGTTCGTTCCACTGCCCTCCCTGGAGAAACGAAAAGAGCGCGGTGGAGGGGAGCGCTTCTAGACGTCAAGAGGCGGCCATTCCTCTAGCGCCTCACGAGCTTTTCTCTTTGGCCTGGCCAGCCTAGCGAAACACCGCCAAGGAAGAGAAAGAAACGCAGCACTGCAGTCGCTGGGAAACACAGCGCTCCATAAGGCCGGGGAACTCGTTTCGGCCTGAGAGTCGTGAACGCTCTGCAGTGCGCTGTCTGCTCTGTCCTTGCAGCTACTCCACGCAGCGGGCATGGCAGATAAAGGCTGATTTTTATTGTTTGTGTTGTCGCTCTTCGCCTCGCAGAAGTGTTTCACGCGGGGCCGCTTCCTGCTTTTCTTCTCCGCGAGAGCGGATCCCGTGCGGCTGGCCGACCGTCATGCGTATGACCCGAAGGCAACTGGGTGGCTGCCGCCGAAATCGGGACACCGCGGGTATCCGCGAGGAAGTGAGCGCCGCTGTCCGCTTTTTTTGGAACCGACGGATCCCGGCGCGCGGCTCCGCGTGTCGGCCTTCTTTTGCACTTTTTTTGGTGGCGCGCTCCTGGCGCACGTGTCTCGCTGGGGACAAGCGAAAGTGAGGCGCGCTTTCGTAGGCGGCACCGGAAACTGATCGCGCAGCCTTAGCGTTGCTCGATGCACTGCATGCGCTGCATGAATGGCACTGCTGCCGTTAACGCAGGCGTGCACGCACCGGGGAATAGTAGCGAATCGCGGGAAGCCCCCGCGCTTGATTTCTTTTTCGAGCACAAATTAAACCAGGCACCAATGGGGGCTTCTCACACGCGTCCACGTGCACACACTCCCGGTTCATGCACATCAGCATTTCACGTCTCAGCACTTACGTATATGCGGCGCAAGAAGGTGCCTGTACTTTTTGAGCTCGTACAGCACGTCCAAGTTGCCGAGGATTGGGTGCGCTGCCGTGGGCCCCGGAATCTTTGAAATGAGCTCGGCGATGCGTCGACGCCGCGCGATGTGCACAGCCACGGGCACGATACACGAGAGCAGTAAGGTTAGCGACCACAGGACTCGGTGCGACGAGAAGGGCAGAAAGCCTGTCAAGGTCATGGGAAACAGGGTGGCTTCACCGCCCGCCGACATGGTTGGCAGTGTCCGCCGGCCGAGGAGATCGTCCGCTCAGGCCGGCTCGTTGCTGAAGAGGTGGGCCGCTGCGCTAGTCCGGGAGCACCCAGCGGACGCACATGGTCGTCGGCCGGGAGTGACGCGCCGCTCGCGTCCTGTGCCAACGGGGGTGGCCGTCACATGGGCGCCGAGTGGTCGTCGTCGCGGGGTCCTAGCAGGCGTATGGGCAGCCGAGGGCAGAAGCAGCGGCGGCGCGGGGGCGCCGGCCTCCGGGGCCATGCTCTCGGCGTCGGCATTGCATTGGCTCCTCCAAGCCGATAAGGCATGCGGCCCCAGGAAGTGGAGCGGTTCCTGTGCGTGTCCCAGGCCCCCCAGACAACGTTGCACGACTACACCACCAGCACCCCGAGGAAACGCACCGGGGACCGTACTAAAAGCATTGATGTAATCCCCGCAAACGGGAGCACTGTCTGTTCGAGACGACCGCCTGCCACGTGACCGCGCCTGGGCCAATGGGGCCAACCGGGCGTGACGTCACCGCGAGGACCTCTCCGTGGAGGGCTTCCTCGTTGACTCTCCTCGCCGGCGTCCTGTTAGAACGCTGCACTACGAGGGGCATAGAGAGAGAGAGGGCAAAATTCAACATGGTGTTGCGAAGAGGGGAGGGGAAGCCTGCAGGGGGGTGTACTTTTGTCTGTTTTGGCCCTTTTACTCTTGGTTTCTTCTTGGGCAGCTGGGAAGTGCCCAAAAATAGAAAGTTGGCAACTGCGAGTTTCTTTCCTCAGGCTATAGGCCAGCGTGATTATCCTTCTCTTGTTTCCTCTTGGCTCACTCTTTCTTCTTCCTTTCGTCTGTTCCCTTTTCTTTTCTGCTCAACCTCTGCGCTTATCCGGCCCTTTACCTTCTTCGTTTATTGGTTGTGAAAACCAGTCGTCTGTTCTACGACGTTCTGCACCTCCATAAGCTGAGTCCTCCAGTGTGAATATTATTCGCTCCCTTGCCACCGAGCTGTCTCTCTGCTCTGGGGATCACTTTCATAGGGGCTTGGAGTAGCTGACCCGCACGTGACAGGGTAGTTGGGACGTCTACGAACCCTAGTATTACAGGGCATTGTTTTTTTTTTTGCCAGAGTTGTCGGCATGGGTCATTGGTGCATTGTATCCTTGCAATGCCGCCGTCAAACGAACCTCTCTATTCTCACTCTCGCCGAGTCAGAGTCTGCGCAGATGCTGCGTCCTTCCCAGATTTTTCATGGTTGTTTGTTTTTAAAGCGGAGGCCGGTCCACGCGGCTCTCCGGCGTGCTTCGCTCCGGACGTCTGAGCTCGTTTTCCTTTCTTATCTACTGCGTAACGCTGTTATCGCAAAATCCTTTGCGCAACTCGGGTGCTCTTATCTCATTTGTGCCGCATGCCACTGAAAAAGTTTGTATGTATTTAAGCACCGAAAACTACCTGCCTGCCGGGAGCGAGAAAGCATACGGGTGAAGAAAAGGCGTTGCCACTGGAAGACGAGCGCTGATGAGCATGTAGCAACTCTCAGATTCGGAATGCAGATTCGCGTGATGGTCGCTATTGTAGTCGCTGGCATGTCGCAATTACATGCAAGGGCAGCTTAAGTCTGCCTCATGAATGCATGTGCGGTATCTGTAGCAACAAATAAGCATGAAAAATTGCATTTATTTACAAGCTTGACTCGTCTGTTTTCAACAACAGAAAGCTTTTTTCATGCTTGCTTTTGTTCTCTTACTAGAGCAGATGGATTCTTCAGCCTTACGTAATGGCTGCCAAACATTGAAGAAGCGTGACAAAAAACAAACGATGCCAATTCTCCGAGAAAATAAAACTTTCGAGATGTACTTTACAGAATGCAATACAGCATATAGTCTTGACCTAAATAAGAATAACGGATGTCCTAAGTGTCTCCTAGCTGGAAGTAACGCGCAAAGAAATCATTTATCGACAAGACCTACACATCAGAGCAGGTGGAACATCCTACCGTTTTCTTGCTCGTCAGTAATTATTTAGCTGTTTTTGGCAAGGAAACATTTTTTGCACCTGTCACCTTACCTAAGCAATGTTCCCATTCTAATGTCACACGCAAAACTCATCTTTCACTCAAGCACCGTGAAACTGCATGAGAAATAAATAAATAGGAGATTAAGGATGGGGTGGATCACAGTCGGCAAGCATTCTCAAAACAAGAATGGTAATCTGCCACTAACCCTCAAGAGGAAGGTATATAACAGCTGCATCTTGCTAGTAATGCCGCGCCCACGTCTGTGTAGAGCACGCGAGGAGCCGGTTATCGCTCTGCGGGGCAAAACCTCGAGGTAATTTCGGGCTATGAAGTGCTGTATCAGAAGAATGTGCGGCCGAGCTCTCAGGCTGACCAAATCAGAGCCCGAAACTGCCTCGAGATTTCACCCCACTGAGCGAAAACCGGCTCCTTGCGTGCTCTACACAGACGTGGCCGCGGCTGTACTTGCCTACGGAGAAAAAACCTGCATGCTTACAAACAGGGTTCAGCTTACATTGAGGACGACACAAACAGGCATCAAAAGGAAAATGATAGGTGTAACCTTAAGAGACAAGAAGAGAGCAGAGTGGGGGAGAGAAGAAACCGAAGTTAAAGATATCATAGTCGAAAGAAAAAGCAATGGGCATGGGCCGGACACGTAGCGCGTAGGCAGGATAACCGCTGGTCATTAAGGGTAACCGACTGAATTCCCAGAGAAGGCAAACGCACGAAGAGGAGAAAAAAAAAACTCAGGTGGGCCGATGAGATTAAAAAGTTCGCGGGTAAAACGTCGTCACGGAAAGCACAAGAACGGGTTGATTGGCGGATCATGGGAGAGGCCTTTGCCCTGCAGTGGGCATAGTCAGGCTGATAATGATGATGATGAATCACTCAATGACATAAACGCCTCACGAAGGACTTGAACCTTAGCTAAATTTTCAGAGGTTTTTGCTATTTATACGCATCGTTGTGCTGCTGGCAACTACTATAGTCACACCGTCAATATATGACCACCAGTAAGCCATGTTTAACGCAAGATCTTTAAGCTCTTCTCGGATATTCACTGTGGCTTCCCAATTGCCACCTAACCATCTTGTATACCATCTGCATTACTTCTTGCTCGAGTGAATTGGTGCAGCTCGCATTACACACCTAAACCACTTCCTTAGTTTCATTAGATGGTCGTGGAAAATACGCAGGTAATTTATTTATCTTAAGACCGAGTTAATTGTTCGTTTGGATATGCATATGATTGTCAAGACTGCTAGCAGCATAGCTCAAGTAAATCTAGCCATTTTCTTTCACATTTCCGCAAGGCTCTCGACTGGCGCCCATACATTGCCACAGAAACGAGCAATGTGTGATGCATTGTAGTTTTGCATCTTGCATCTTTGCCGTTAACAGTCTTTTGTAGTCTATCCCATTGCCAGCTTTACAAATAGCATATCTTATTGTATTTTGTACCACTGCCATCTGCATGTCTTCTGGATCCGAGGAAAACGTAGAGTTGTACAATATGATGTCTTTATGTATCTGAATGCCCTGAGCTTGAGCTGTTGAAATTTAGTTTTCTTGACATCTGGGAAGGAGATAAGCCTTTTTCTTTTATTGCTTTCATAATGAGTGTTTTCAATTCTGGTAAGCTTCTGCTACTGACGTGCACTTAATGATGTAGTGCCACCTGCATACCTTTAGTTGGTTATGTTTTTCTCTTCCACCAGCGGATTTGCCTCTGCATTCCTTTGAGGACTTTACTTATTTCCCCTGTAGCTACTCGTAGGATGTCGGACACCTGTGGGCTATTATTGCATATTACGATGTCATCCTGATGTTTCGGCTTCTGTACAGTTCTCTGTACAACTCATCTACCACCCCAACTATCCTGTCTATATTGGTTATGACATTGTCTTCCTTGTCCCTAATGCATACATCCGATTTTTGCCTATGCACAAGTTTGCCTTCGCAGCTTTTTACAGCCTGGTCGATTCACTTCATGTTATACTTTCTGATGTCGGATACCTTGCACCTATTTATTAACTTCGAAAGCTCTACTAGCTCTATATGATCTGTTGCATTTGAGGTTTTCATGGTTTGTCATCTCCTAATTAGATTTTTCGTGTCCTGAAGCGGTTGGTCAGTGTCCTGTCTGGTGATTGTACCTTCGAATTCTGTTGTACACTCTTTGATGATACTAGTAAGATTATCGTTCATTGTGTCAATGCTAACGCCGGTTACCGCGTTTTGAGCATAGAATCTATTCTGAAGTGAAACTCTGAATTCATGTAATTTCCCTCTCACGCTCATTAATTAGCTTCTTGCGTATCATGCCTTTAAATCTAGGTGAATATGAGCTTTTACCATTCTATGGTCGTTGCATCGGATCTTGCTAACTACTTTTGCATCCTGTACAATGCCTGGTTGTGCACACAGAATAAAGTCAATTTCATTTTTTGTTTCGCAATTAGCACTTCGCCACGTCCACTTATGGTTAGCCCGTTTTCTGAAGAAGGTATTCAAGATAGGTAAATTATTAAATTTTTTGAACTCTACTGATAAGTTTTTTCTGGCATTTCTAGAGACGATGCCATATGCTCCCACTGCATGGTCTCCGGCCTGTTTCTTGCCTATTTTGGCATTAGAAGTGTGAGCAAGGTATACGTAAATTGGCAGCGTAACTTCCATAGAAGCCCATGTAATCAGTAGTGGGCAGCTCGTTGCCACCATCGCCGTCTACGTATGAAGGGGACAACTGACAGCAAACAAAAAAATAAAATATGTGGTCCCAACTGGAAGCGGTAGCGACGTCATGCCCTACATGGCACCAAATTGAAATGTTTCCTTATTGCTGACGTTTTTTATGCGTTTTTTTATTTACACATGCAATTTTATTGCGCTTTATGGCTCGCTAAATATGTGCGTGAGAGAAAAGAAACAACCACAAAAATATTCAGGAAGCATAGTCTTTTATTAGCCACATGATGTTTGCAATATACACCGAAAACTTCGCAGGTGCAGTTGTGACACAGCTGTTCCCAGCAGTTCGAAAAGTAACGTTGCTCAGTCGTGAAAACACACTGCAGCGAGACAGCAGCTTTGACAATATCGCTTGGGCAGCCGCAGAGTACAGCGCCTCGTTGTTTAGCGTGTCGCATTCACCGTCACCAAAGGAGAGGGCGCACCGGCCGTGCGCCAGCAAAGGCAGCAGGCAGTCACAGGAGCGGCTATCTAGACATTCTGTGAGCTATTTCAGCTCTTAAATGTCCCGCCAGTTAACAGCACATAAGCATATAAACTACGCAAAAGTAAGCGATGGCTTGTCGACCAGGCAGCGAAATAAACATAAGCTCTGACAGCAGATTGCCTGTATACGCCCCTATCTATGGCATTCGACCATAGAATGACGGAACTAGCGATTTTGCCAAGTGTTAAATGAACCGTAAAGTA